ACCCCCACCAAAGCCTCCACCACCTCCCAGCACTACCAGTTTGGGTATGAAGCCTTCACACTTAGGCCTTTGGGGAAAACCCAGGATCCAAGGAGTATCAGTTAAGATCGCTGGGTAGGGACATATGAGTGTCTTCAACTTTTAGAAAGTTCCAAACATTTTCCACAGTGTCTGTATGAGGTTCCACCCCTGCTGTGAGTGTATGGGGATTCTTAGTGTTCAGAACCTCCTCCCATGCTCAGTGTCGGCAGACTCACACAGTTGACTCTGCATTGCAGGTTTGCCTGGGCAAATCAAGCTTCAGTTACAGGTCCTTACACACTGGGCTCGCTACTGAACTTGTGCGTGCATTTTTCTTGATACTATATCCAAAACAATACAGTATCACTATTTATGTAGTATTTGCATTATATTTCTAATTGTGAGTTTCTTGGCCTAGTTTTTCATGGGTTCGATTTCTAGTAGATTTGCAGGATTTGAATAGTTAAACTAGATATCATTTGATTATATTTGTTTCAAATATATTTTCCTACTCCATATGATGTGATTTCTGTTATATTTTGAGAAAAAAGCTGTGATTTTTATATAGTTAAACTTACAAGCTCCCTTCTTGATATATAGAGTCTTTTTGTGTGTCTTTGGAAATCTTGTCATGTTTCAATATTATAAGAGATATTATGCTATATTGTCATGTAAAATATTCACAGTTCTCCCTTTAATAGTGTAGCTTTTAACGGATTTGAAGAACCTTTTATATGGTATAAAGTATGATTCAATTTCACATTTTTTTGTAGAAATATCCATTTAGGATGTTTGCATCGATTATTGAAGACCAATCACTGTGTCAGCAAGATCTTTAGTGCTACTTCCTTCTCACTTGAAATGATCATAAATTCAGAGTATGTCTATATTTTAGTCTTATTTCATGTCTCCATATCAAAACCACACTACCTTAATTACATTATAATAACTAAAAATAATTCTTGCTAGGTGGTAAATTAATCTTATTTTATATTTTTCAGTTTCTTGGCTCTTTTTTCTTTTAAGCATTTTGTGCCTCTATGAGTTCATAAACATTTTAAAAACAGCTTTTTGAATTAAAATCCTCAATAATTTTTGAAGGATTTTATTGAATATAGATCAATTTGGGATTATCAGTACCTTACATTGATGAGTCTTATAAATAGCAGAAACATGGCTTGCTTACTATCTTTCTGTATCTTTCTTGGTAAAACACCTTGATAAAGTGTTACTGTTTTCTGTATATTGTCTTTAAATTTATTTCCTAGACATGGTACTTTCTATTTTCAAGGATACTTTAAATATTTTAAGTTTTCTTTTTAAAATTATTGCTAGCTCAAAGTCTTTTTGTATATTGCTGTTTAAATCAAGCAATTCTCCTAAACTCATGTATCCTGATATATTGTTTTTTTCAATTTTTTAAGTTTTCTTAAGTATATATAGTGTATATATTTTATATATACATTTTGGTAGTGTATATATACCTCAATTTTCCTCTTATAATCTGCATATGTTTTGCTCCTTTTTTGTGCTACTATATTATCTGCTAATAGCCGTAGGGCAACACAACAAATATAAAAAGTAGCAGCAGATATCTTTTTGGCATATTGACTGTTCTAAAGGAAACATTTAAAAGTCTAAAATTGATGCATATTTTAAAAATCTAACTTATTACAGAATTTTTCTTTGAATTTTACATGAGCACAGTTCTTTGAGTTTTGACACATGCACAAGTTCCTATAATTGTTACCATAACCAAAATAGAATAAAATTTGTTAAACTTCAAAATTTCTCTGTGCGCTGTGGCTCAGCGGTCACGAGCTCTCCTCATCTCCAACCTCAGGTAGCTGCCGCTTGGATCTGTTCTTTGTCCCACTACTTTCATTGTTCCAGTTGTCAGGTAAACACAATTAAACACTAGTTTGTCTTCAGAGACTGATTTCTTTTAGTGTAGACAATGACTGAGATTCGTCCGTGATAGTCCTTGTGTTCCTTTTCATGCTGCATTGTACTACACTCCACGGGTGCGCTGTGATTTGTTTGCATATTCATGCATTGAAATAAACATATTTTCTGATTCTGTAGATTATTCTGCTTCCTTAGATTAGCTTCCTAACCTATCGTGCTTCAATTTCTTCATTAATGGTGATAACGCCAGTTCCTCAATCGTAGAGTTCTTGTGAGGCTGAAATCAGTTAGCAAGCTGGGGAGATGGCTCAGCAGTCCAGGTGCCTGCCTGGCAAGCTTGAGGACCGGGATTTCATCACCTGTACCACATGCCTTGCTGGTCCCAGAACCCCAGAATTGCTCTGCTAGCCACCAAGAAAAGGCATGTTGGCACGCACCTGTAATTCCCAGCAGTAAGGAGGCTGAGACAGGAGGATCACTACAAGTCTGAGCTGCATAGCAAGACCCTGTACCAAATAAATAAGTATTTTTGAGAAACAAAATGAATTAACATACAAAATACATTTGGACCTCTATATCTAAGGGTTTCATATCCACAAATTTAATCAACCAAAACTCAGAATGATTGAAGAGAAAAACATTGCATTTATAGTGATTTTGCTCTTTTTTCTTATTTTCCCCCTTACCAAGCAATTTAGTATAATGTCTAGTTTCATAGCTCTTATATTAGGTATTATGAATAACCTGAGATGATTAAGAGGATATGGTAGTGTACTATAACATCCTGTAACTCAGTTGTGTCCCAAACTTTCTGATCAAGGAGATTATGGGGCCACAGAAGAAAGTGATCAGTGATGTAGAGTGTGCCTAAGGAGAGTCACATGGAGAGAAAACATTCTCTAGGCTGTCAGAAAGCAAACTGGTCAGGCAATGGCCATGACTCATCCACATGGCTGACACTGACAAAGGATCTATAAACTGTGGTAGAGGGTTTCAGGGTAAATCCTGAGGTGATTTGACTGACCATGGCAAATATAAAAATTACATTTCTTGTTATATAGGTCTTGATTTTCTTGGTCTTAACCATCCAGCAGAAAAATATAAAAATGAGGTATAAAAAGTAAAGCCATATTAATAGGCTGACTATAAAAGGCTCAAGTCAACAACTTCTGACATTGCCAGTGCTATGAATAACCCATTACTATTATAGACTACTGGACTACATTGGATTATTTTGCTGAATTCATGCACGTACAATATTTAAATGGCAATGGAATGCCTATCTCTGACAAAACTAAACAAAAAAAGAGGATACAAATGAAGGATCATTTTGTATCTGTAGATACAAAATAGTTAGGATAGATATACAGCTACTTTCTCTTAATTCAGTGAGAAGAAAGATTTGTACCAATAGTGTTTGGACAGGATATCATGTCTGTATCTTGTACTATGAATAACCATTACAGAGATGACAATATGCAATGTATTAATTATTGAAACTGTCCTACTAATTGGTTTTGAAACTCTTTCATTGCTATTTGTTTCTCAATAAAGTTAAGAAAAAAAGAGGATACAGTAGGATGTGCAGAGGACGTAGGACTATACTGTGATATATGTGCTTGGGCATCTGCACACTTTGGTATCCTCCAAGGATCCCAGGATCAGTGTATATTGTGTATACTGTGGGATACTTGTACTTCCAACAGTGCTGGTTATATGGTATCTGGCTAACCTTGTCACCAATATTAACAAGGACTTTGAAGTGAAACAGAAATTGACAAGTTCAGGAAACAGCAAGGGGCCGGTGTGTGGGGCAAGGGGGCTAATGTCTAGAAAGAAGAGTAATATGAGATGATAAAGGTACATGGGAACTAGATTAGAGAGAGCTGGATGAGTTTCAATGGGAGGGGGGGTTGATTTCATGCCAAAAGGAGTGAGACAAAATCTGGTTCATGTCTTCTGGAGATTACTTGGCTGATGGGACAAGATTTAGTCATGGTGTTGGTAAGAGTGACAGCCAGTCACTCTACCAGAAAGCACCATAGCCATTTAGGGGAGAAATATGGTGCCTTGGGCCATAGTGGCATTGGTGCAGAGACAGTGACAAGTGGCTTGGACACGGAACCCACGGAACTTGCTGATGGATTAGCAGCCCGGTGGAACATGTTCTCCACAAGGGCACATAATAACTGATACTCCTCTTCCTGGGGGTTTCCCAAAGGTTTCCCTCATCCACTTTTGAATTAAAGCCTCAACTTCCCTGCATGATTTGTGAAATTCACTTGGAGAAATAGTCTGTCTTTTACCTTTTCAATGAGTTCTGACTTCTTTCCTACTCCTTCTCACAACCCCAGACACACTTGTGAAAACAGATTACTCCAGAGCAGATACGTGCCTGGAGCACTTTGCCTGGAGCGCTTTGCCTTGGGGCTCTCTCCAGCGCCTGGGACACCACATGCTTAGCTCCGCTCCTGGAGAGTTGTCTTGGCTGCTTTGTGCTTATCCAGATGGCTGGTAGTTTCACTGGTTGGCAGGAATTCTTCTGTACACTGGGGACTTACAGTTGAAATAAATATTATTATTCTCAGATGAAAATTAAACCAGAAATTTATTTTTGTCATTTCAACTTTAATTCACTCTACAATCTCTTATTTAAAATGAGAAATAATCTTAACTTTCTAGGTGATCAGAACACTAACATTGGCCAAGGGTTACTTAGTCTTGCTTTCAAATGGAGATATTTTTAAAACAGTTAAAAATAGACTGCTCTCATCTCATGCTGAAAATATTATTTACTTCCTGTTCTTAGCACATCTATGTTTGTTCTCTGTGGGGCTTACACTTCCACTCCTCCTTAAAGACAAACGGTGACCCAGTCTTCATCTGAAACACCCTAATCATGCTTTAAAAAAAACAAAACTGATGGAATTTCTCCTTAAGTCAGTGTCCATTTATAGCATCTATTTATTCAGCTTATTTGTAGGCGACTTCTGAGATCTAGGAGATGCTCACTTGAATTTTGAACCTCGTTTTGTGCTTCTTTGTAACTAGCTTCTTTTGTGATCTTACAGAATACCAAGCTGCTATTTTACACTTGAAGAGAGAACACAAAGAAGAAATTGAAAACCTACAGGTATATCATTCTCTTTGATTCTACTGAACTGGCCATCTGATACTGAGGTTTCTCAAGTGTTGAAGTAAATATTCCTCTTGCGCTGAAGCATTTCTCTGGGTGCCGCCAGCATCTTGCCCTTGTCAGAGGGCTCTGACTTTATTGTGGGGGTGAATGTCTTGGATACTATTTAATACATTTAGTTTCTCAGTTTGAAAAAATTAGATCAATGTCTTGGAATCTAAAAATGGGTGTTCTGCTTTTAAACCAGGGAAGAAGGTAGAGTATTTAGACTTTCACTGTTTATATGAAATAATATAAAGGTCATCTTTCCTATGCACAGTAAATTATTGTTGGGAGTTGTGCCTACTCCTGTTCCTGTGCTCATGTCTATGTATCTCTAAGCATATCTCCTGCAACATGATATCCTGCAGATTAAGGCCCTTGAAGGAGACCCTCATGGCAGGAAGTCATGGTGAACCCTTCCAAAGCCATAGTGAGTGCTGGGAAGTTACCATCTTGGGCCTCCGTTGGGAGCTAGGGCTGAAGTATCTTTTTCCTTGTCCTGCCACCTAATGGTCCTTTCTTCTTTGCAGAATTTGTTTGCAGTGCTTAGGGCAGGAAGCTCAGAATCTTAACTTCAAATAACTAGATATGTGATCAGACTCAGAGTGTAGTTTGGGCTGAACCCATACTTTCGGCGAGAATAACAGCAAAATTTAAATAATGCTAACTCATTACTTGCTAATTTGATGAATTTGTGAATGAAATAGTCCTTTAACATGTGTATTTATTGCAACTAGAAAATTATATAAATTTATGATGCACAACATGTTTTGAAATATGTGTATATTTTATAACAAAAAAATCAGGTTCATTAACATTTGAATTACTTTAGGAACTTATTTATTTATAATAAGGAAACTTAGACTTTACTTTCAGGGATTTTCAATGACAGTACATTCTCATAAGCTATCGTCACTATAGTAGATCTCTTGGACTCACTCTTCTTATCCTTCTGAAATTTTTCATCCTCTGACCAACAGCTCCCTAATTCTTTCCCCTTTCTATGTACCTCAGCCCCAGGTAGCCACTATTCTGCTGCTTCTGAGTTCAACTTTCTTAGATTCTATGTGAGGCCATGAAGTATTTGTCTTATCGTGCCTGACTTATTTCACTTAACTTTAATGTCCCCCAGGTTCGTTCATGTTGCAAATGAAACAGTGTACCACTTTATTAGAATGAGTAGCATTCTATTATGTGTATATACATTTGTTTTATCTGTTCATCCCTTAATGGATACATAGCTTGATTCTATAGCCTGACTTCTGTGAATAATGCTACATTGAACATATGTATGTAGATATCTCTTCAACTTGCTGATTTTGTTTCCTTTTTGTATATATCCAGTACTGGGATTGCTGGCTTTTTTTAAATAATGGTTATAGTAGTTTACATTTTCATCAATGGTGTGAAAGGGTACCCTTTCTTCCATATACTTATCAGTACTTATTATCTTTTTTCTTGGTTTAGTAATAGGTATGCAGTGATACCTTCCTGAAGGCTTAGTTTGCATTTTTATGATAATGAGTGAGATGAGCATATTTTATATACTTACTGCTCATTTTTATGTTTTGTGACAAATGTCTATTTCTTTGTTCATTTATAAATCAGCTTTGATTTTTGTTATCAGCCTACTTGAACTCCTAATATGTTTTATGTATTAATCACTTATTGAATGTATGGAAATAGTCTTTCTTTCCTTTTTTAAAAAAGTAGAAAATTTACTAGGACTAGGCAAAGCTATTAAGAGATAGGAGGGGTCCTGAGTGGGTAGCCAATGAACTTACTTCTCTAAGAAAGTTTTATAGAGCAAAGTCATGAAGGGTGGGCTCAATGGGGGTCAAATGACAATCAACCAATAATATTACAAATATAGCCACTTGGCTAATATTGATCCAGTAGTAGCAAGGGCATATGGGTGACATCATTAACTTTGGTTGATAATCTGTAGTCTTAGTCTTGTCTTTTTCTTTGTACTCTCAGTGGTTTTAGTTTTAATGTTAGAGAGTGGGAGAGGATGGTTTATTTATATGGGAAATATCAAAATGTTGGCACCAATAACCTCAAAATTCCTAGGGAAATATGTAAATCTGGCCATTGTGACATTAATCTTCTTCAGGTGTACCTCCAGCGAGTTCCCAGGGTGAGAGCTTTCTTTTTTTTAAATTAATTAATTTATTTTTATTTTAATTTTAAACAGAGTACAAATTGAAGATAAATTATCTACAAATATAAATGAATATAACAATAAAAATTGTCCAAAATAAAAATGAAGAATTTACAGATCAGTCATAATAGTTCACTGTGTCAAAACCAAGAAACTTATATTCATATAATTAGAATGCTCAAGGTAGAAAGGAGTAGGCAATAAATATTTAAAGATATAAAATTTCTGAATTTAGTTCAACTTATAATACCATATATCCAAGAAAAATGAACCTTTTGCACAAGAAATTAAAATAAGATCATACCAAGATACACAAAAATGAAATTGTCCAAAACTTATTGTAAAGAAAAAAATTATTAAAGCATATACATAAAAAATATTAGCTATGGAAGAACAAAATTAAATAGCACCTTATTCTACATTAGAAATAAAAAAGGACCAAGTGTGTAAGAAACTAGACTAATTAAAGGACTGAAAGAAAAGATCTGTCCTCTTTGAATTTTATACTTAGCAAACATACCTTTGAAAAGTAAAAGTAAGATTTTCTAGTTATACAAACTTGAAATATTTTAATACCTCCAGAAGTAGCATATAGGAAAAAACAAAGAGCCTAATTGAAAAGGCAAGAGAAGTTGCAGTATGCTCTTGGATGAATAATAAAGAGCTCTCAATATGATATGCAGGACTATATAAAAATATAATAGATGAACCCTTATTTAAAGGTCATTGCAGATTTCTATGAAACAGAACCAGTCTTTTTTTTTTTTTTTTTTTCAGAACCAGGGATTGAATTCAGGTCCTTGCGCTTGCCAGGGAAGCACTTATTCCACTGAGCCGTCTCCCTGGCCCCAAGAATCAATTTTATGTTGGGTTATACACGTATTTTTTTCCATATATGTGTGTGTATGTGTGTATGAAAGACAGGAAGGAAGTAATATAAAGTCAACAGAAAATGGAAATATACTTTTTAAAGTTTCTAATACTAGGAGAAGATATCATATGATGTCTTTTAAATAAATTGTAGGTCAAAGATATAGTATAGGGGCTGGTGAGATGGCTCAGTGGTCTAAAGCACCTACTTAAAACAAGCTTAGCAAAGCACTGGGACCGTGGTTCAATCCCCCAGCACCACATGCCAGCCAGCCCCGCCCCTTGGTGGGCTGAGCTGGCCACACACACACACAAATAAATTAAAAAAAGAAAAGAAAACATTTAAAAAAAGATATAGTATAAATCTTAGAACAAAAATTAAGATTAAGCAATATTCAGAAAATTAAATACTAATTAATTAAAAATTAAATTATTTCAAAACAATTAAACTAAGAAAAGGTTTTCATGGTAGCAGAGATATATTAAGATCAAAACATAAGAGAAATACTGGAATGGCAAATAAATGACCAACATTTCTAACAGTTTGAGGATAGGATATCGTACAAAGTTCTAGTGTGTTGTAGACATGCATAATGAGCCTTCTGCCTTAACTCCCTCAAGAACACAGTCTTGTCCAACTGCCTATAATAACTGTAACCTGTCTGTCCACAGTGTCCCCCCTCTGACAAGGCATCCCTAACTGTGGCTAGTGAAGAATGGGCAGAGTTTCTGTCTAGCCACTTTGAGCTGCGATGGGCCAGTGTTGGGAAGACTGCACGCAGTCAGGGCCCTTTTTGGGAGAGCTAATTTAATGAGCCTTCAATAGAGATCATGTCATAGTTTAGCAGTTTTGAACTCCTTTTACAAGGTTGATCTAGTGGATCCAGGTAAGGAGTCCAGAATATTTCTCATTGGTCCAATCTGCATGATCACTTGGCAAGAATAAATAAATTTTCTAAGAAGTTAAAGCATGTGTAATCGAAACATGGACACTGTAATGGAAAGGCAGATTGGGGAAAGAGCCAAGGCATTGGTCATTGGTCCTGAAGGACTGGAATAGTGATTGTAATTAGTTGGCTCTTAGACCCCTTTACTTATGGAAGTTATCTTTAAGTCTGATATTTCTTGTCACAAATCTCATTAGTTTTATCTGTAAGAAGATGGAGAGTTTGATGATTTTGAAGGACAATTACAGCTAAGGAATTGAAAGTTTTTTGTTGAAATTTTATAGTTTTCGACATGTTTTGGGTATTTTCTTTTGTTTTGTTTTGTTTTTGCATCACTGAACCATAAAAGTGGCCAGCTACTGCTGTAACTGGAAACTGCCAGAAAGGGGTTGATGATTGGAGACACTTTTTCTATCTACCTCTTATTACTGTGGTGTTATTTTCATATGTTTTTAGGTTATATTTTTTATCTGGGTGTTTAAAAATAAGTTAAAGTGTGACCTGTGTTAATAAAAACTGACCTTGTGCTGTCTACCAAGGTGAGGTAAGCCTTCCTAGACCCTACTTTTAGAACAATGTGCAATTTCTCACCTCTTCTCTGGTCAGCTGCTGGGAGAGGTCACGGTCTTGCTTGACCATGTTGCTTGCTGTGAAAGCATGGGAGCGTTTTCCCTCCCCTCTTTTTTTTGGCACGGTGTACATTCCTTGATTCCTGTTCTTTAGAGTTCAGAAATCTCCCTTCTCTGGGGATTGGGTAACTCACTAAAGTTATAGGGACCTATCGAAACGTTTTCCTCATGTCCTGGGTCCATGTTGAGCTTGGAGGGCCAGGGCCGATGTACTGGCTGTCTGCTTAGCCCAGGTATGTTTCTAGTTATGGTCTCCAAACTTCAGCTGTTGAACACTCAAAAGAGATCAGTTATATTGATATCTTAATGTGAGCAGTGATCTTAAATGTTAAAATCTCATCTGGA